AAGTGGCAAAGCTGGGACTCACATAAAGTAGTCTGCTTTCAGTGTTCTTGGCCACTGTGCCCTTCTGTTTCCTGGAAGGAAAGAAGTTTACTTCTACCCAGTGAACACGATCTGAGTGCTGGACTGTGCACAGGTTGCTTGATGAGGAAGCACACGGAAATGCTCCAAGGGACAAGGCCTTAGATGAGGGGAGTATGGTTGGTATTGGAACAATGTGAAGAGTGCTGTGGATATGAGAAAATGAGCATTTCAGAATTCCTATGTTCTGCAGCCCAAGAAAGCAAGAGTGTGATAAAGATGAACTCAAGGTCAGGCTCAAAGCTGATGAGATTGGACTTTCATGGTGAAGGGTCTTGAATGCCCTACTAATTTGATGGCACTTTAGCCTAGAATTGGAAGGGGGCTGTGGCAGGCATACGTGTGATAACGTGGGATTTGAAGAAAGCTAAATTAGAAGGGAGCCATTTACCTCAGGCCAGCACGATCATCAAAGTCTGAGGTCTGAGGAAGATGAAGAGAGATGAAAGGGAGGCTTTCAAAGTAGACCTCTCATGCAGAAGAAAGGGAAGTGAAGTTTCATGAACTGGTTGTATCTGTGATGGTCAAGTGATGAAGAGTGGAGCGACGGAGACCGGGTTGAAGGGACACTTCAGAGTGACCCTCCCTAACCCATGCTTGACTTCCCTGCCCCATTATTGATGTGGATCTTTTCCACTTGTAGAAAGTCTTGTCTGACCAGACAGCCCCCTCACTGCCCCTCAGAGAGACTCTACTGCTAGAATGAGGTACTGTTTGTTTTTCTAGCTCTTATTTAACTCCAAGTGTTTAGACTTTATTTTATGCAAATCTAAGCAAGCTTTTGTCTCAGAACCCCTCTGTTGACAACCTCTTGGCCTTTCTTGGTTGTCAACTCAGGAACTTTAAAGTGATTGGAGAGGACTGTGTCTGGGAAGCTCAGGACTGAAGAGAGCAGCACCCTCAAGAAGGGCAAACTAAGATCATTTAGGGGAAGGGCGCCAGCCAGGTATGGGACACCCAGTGTCTACTGATGGAAGATATGAGGTTATTGTATGTGTGGTCTCATAGCCAAGCACAAGAACAGAGTTTGCATTGTAACTGTTAGGAAATTCGAGAAGTGACGCAAATCAGACCTATTTCTTAAAAGCAACTGAGACCTCACAGATCATGCAAACAGTAAATTATTGGTGTTAGACAATGAGATTCATAAGTTGATTAGGTGGGACTCCTGCCTCTGAGGGGTTCACACTTGAAGGAGGCAGATAAGGGGAAGCTACATGTGTGTCATATTACTATGTTATAATTATAGATTATCTTCAGTGTATATGTAGGGAGCCACCAATTCATATAAAATTCATGAAATCATCATTACCTATGGTTTTGCATACAACACTGTGTCCCTTATGCTTAAAACAGGGCCCAGAACAGCCTCAAAAATATTTATTATAACATATAAATGAGCGGATACAAGGATAAGTACTTGATAGTAGCTTGTATGAAACCACAAACAGGTTCTCCTGCCCTTCAATGGAATACTTCACTTGGTATGACAAGGTGAGCCCCATATTATAATGACTCCAATGTGAGGCTTGCCTAATTGAGGATACTACAATGTCATTTCCTATTTTAGATGCTAACACTGTCCATCTCAGTGCTAGTTTCTTGGCTACAGGACAAGAGTCTTTGACCCAATCTATCAGGAGCCTGATCTCAGAAGGAAATGACCTTATCATAAATCCTGTTCATCTCCTTAGCCATCCAGGGATCTTGGGCAAGTCATTGCTTGTCTTTGAATTTCAATTTCTTGTATGTTGAAGGAAGGAAACATCACATCTATTTGGAATAGTTGCTAAATCATTTCATTCTGGGCAAGAGACTGATGCTGTTGAGAAAGGCTCTAAATTCAGTGACCAGGCCTCATTCCTGAAGTAACACAGTCTTTGCAAGCATTCACAGTGAAGCTTCAGCTTGAGAGAGCAGTTGATGAAGTGATATTTGAACCTGTGAACTTTTAGCTTAAAAGTAAGAGTTCACCTTTTTCTGGTGTTACAGTGTTGGCCAAGTGTGGCTGCTGTGCCCTGCCTGTGTCGAGGACCGGAAACCTCACATTAGGTTGCATTCATCTGACAGAGGCGCCTTCCCCAGTTCCGCCTCCAGATGTTCCATGGGGGTTGATGTGAGGAGGAGGAGTTAACCATACCTAGTGTCTCTGATGAGGTCAAGTATGTGTACCCACATGTGCGTGTGTGTGTGTGTGTGTGTTTGTGTATGTGTGAAAGAGAGAGAGAATGAGTGTGTGCGTGGAGAGAGAGAGTGTGTGAGACAGACACAGAGTGTATGTGAGTGTGTGTGAGAGAGAAAGAATGAGTGTGCATGAGAGAGTGTGTGTGAGAGAGTGTGTATGTGTGATAGATAGATAGTCTCTCTCTCTCTCTCTCTCTCTCTCTCTCTCTCTGTGTGTGTGTGTGTGTGTGTGTGTGTGTCTGTGTGTGTGTGTGTTGGTTAGGAGTTTTCCAGCCTGCTGACACAGATCAGGCTCACATCTACAGGGTTTTGTTAGCCAGAAGGAAAAGGCCCTAGAAACACACTAAAGCTTCTCTGTGAGAAAGTTTAAGGCCATTGCATTTCCAGAAAACTGCTGAGATTCCCCCATCAGCAGGAATTGTATCAGTGACTTTTGCACACCTTCCTGCTTGTGCCATGGTGAGTAGGGCTTTGCACTGACGGCCTTGTGCAAGGCCTGACCTTTCCATAGGAAAGGAACATTCATAACCAAAGCCTATACACAGAAGCTTCAGACTGGAGCAGATAAAGATGCAGGTCACGTGGCAATTTTGTGTGTGAATCGTAGAGCAAGAGGGGGCGTAGCAGACAGCTCAGAGCTCTTGAAATACTGCCGTTGGCTAGAGCCTCCCCAGTATTTGTCAATGCCTGTAAAATAAATGCCTGCTTTCAGCTCAGAATTCTAATGCCATCTCCCATTCCTGAGCACAGCTCATTCCCACCTAGAGGGGAAATTTTAGTTTACAAATATCTTTGCTTCCCTCTAGTTCTTCATGGTGACCATCCATAGTTACTCGACAGCCAGGTATTTAAAATGGTTTATGTCATTTACCAGAGGGAATTATTTCCCAAGAGCCATTGGTTTCCCAGGTCAGCATAGGGCAAATTCCTCAGTTTGGGGGCTAGCAGGATCTGGAAGTTGCCGTCTTTCTGATGATGTCTCCGCCACTCCTCTTTATTTTGTTTACTCTATCAAATTGCACACCATCTGTGCCTACCAGTTCCTTGGTCTTCATCTGTGATTTTCTTATGGATCCCTACTGGCTAGCCTTCTTCAGTGTCTCTCTGAATCTCTGTGTCTGTTCGGAAATACTTGAGCTGCATGCGATTGTCTCCACGAATTCTTCCTGACCCTCCTTGCCCACGCCTACCATGTTCTTTGCTTCTAAATGATCTGGTCATGGGTTAATCTGCATTCTACTTTGCTGCCTATGCTTTATTTCCTTCTGGTAGACCAGGAGCTCCTTGAAGGCAGGTTAAGAATAATGACTGAGGCATTTTGTATAACAGGATGTGCCTATAGAGAGAGTGTTTTGGGGGGTGGGGGTGGGGTGGGGTGTATCTGTATATGGTGGCACATGTTATCCCAGCATGCTGAGGACAGGAGGATCAGAAGTGGAAATATCAGCCTGGGTCACACAGTGGATTCCATGTTAGTCTGGGCTACAAGTAAGGCCCTGTTTCAAGATCGATACATACATACATACATACATACATACATACATACATACATACATGCATACATAATTCTTGCAAGCTATTGAGCATCTGAATTTGTTTGGAGAATGTACCAGCAATGATTTGCTGAGCTTTCTTTATTGTGTTCTTGCTGGTTCATTTAATCACCACACAAAATCACCGTGATGTTATTATCGTTGTTACCACCCTCAACAGATGAAAGAACCGAAGCTCCAAGTGTGACACAATTGGCTGATCGATAGGCTGGTTCTGAATCCTTGAGCATCTAGGCCAAGGACTGTTGGGAGCTAGCTTCCTGCAGTTCACAAGATCTGACTGGTAAATTTCAGAGGCTTGGTCAGTGGGCTTGAAAGTACTATTTTAAATCATAATATTAACTTACAATAATTAATTCTCACAACAAAAGAATTAGCAAAATGATACTACATGCCTACAACTTGCTGTTCCCTATTTACTTTGACACATTATTGATAAGTATACGCTTGATGTTGCTTACATTATCAGGACTTGGTATGCTGGAGATAGACAGTATACAATGGTGCATAGCTTGTGTCTCCTCCAAATTTTATGTTCAGAGATGTTCCGCTACCAGCTTGAACTTGGCCATTGATGAAAGTGTTTTCACCAAGGATATTGGCAAATAGAGCAGCTGAGGGCTTCCTATCTGTCACTAAACATTGGAAGCCCACCCCTGGCCTGGAGGGCAGTTTACACCGCAGGACGCGACAGGCTTTGAGCCCAAGGCACACGTAGGCCCTTTCATTTCTTGGCCCAACTTTGGACCATCACAGACAAGCTGCCTCCTGAGATTAGAAAACGGCCCTTTACAAGGCTTATTCAGCCTTCTGGGCTGGAGTAAACACAAATCTGCGTAGTTATCCTATGCTTATAGCCCAATGTCCTCTACCTTTATCATAAAACGTGGCTGCACATTCATCACACCATGCACAGGAATAGCTGACACAACTATGATAGGGTAAATGGGAGTTCTGAAATGTTAACGGAAATTTATTTACCCAATGTTTACGTTACTCTAATAACCCATTTTTTAAAACATAATTTCTTTATTGATTCATTGGGAATTTCACATCATGCACCCCGATATATGTCATTTCCCAGTCCCTCCATATCTGCCCTTCACCCTTGCAGCATCCCCTTTAAAAAATAAAATTAAAAAAAAAAAAAACCAAAACATTAAGATCAAACGAAACCAACCAATCAAACCAACAAAAAACCCCATTTTGCTCTTCTGTCTTTCTACCTCTCCATCTCCTCTTCATCCGTCTTAGTGGCATTGGGAGCCTCGGGGGTGTCACGTAGTACACCCCTTTGTCCTATCAGCATTACTTGCAATGTTCATTGCAATGAGTCACTTGTCTGGTTCAAGGCCTCTGGATAATCCATTGCTCTTCTCAGTTAACTTCAAATCTCGATTTCATGCACCTTCCATACTGTGCATATTTTATGGGATTCCATGAAATGAGACACACACTTAGGGTCAGAAGTTATGCAAGCCAGCAAAGGTGCTTTAATTCAAGAAGTCCATTAGCATTGGGACTATTTCTTCATCTGTCTAAAGATAAATATGGCCTAGGCGCTCTTTGGTGACCCTTCTGTTTCTGTTCTAAATGATACTACACAACCATTCCCTTCTGCAGAGCTCAGATCCCCGACTCTACACTATGGACCACTGAAGTTAATGACGTCTTTGAAGTCCTTCATAGCTGTACAAGCTTGTGGATTAGCACGGAAGGCCAGGTTTTGCACTAAATATGTCATTTCTATCAGATAGTGTCAGCTTTACCACCCCAAAATACCAGCTTACCCACTGATTACCCAGATCTCTGGTGCCAAGAAAAGACTTGAAGACAGACAGCTTTTCTGGTCAAGAGCTCTTACTGCCTTAGGGGCAAACTACAGCTAACCTCAAGTCAAGGAGAAGGGTATGAATGGGGAGAACTCCTGAGCTATTCAACAATCTAGAAGACTAAAAAAGAAAGGTTGAAATCTGTACCAGCGTTTTGTTTTGACATCCTGACTGGGTCTTCAGTGAAAAGGAGTAGGAAAAGGAAGACATAAGACATAAGGCAGACGATACTTCCTATTGGATTAGGAAGAGCAGAGGGGAGGTGAAGGTAACTAAGGAAAAAAGTTGATGCACTGGCCTCTGCCATAGTTCTCCTGATCAGAAGAGCACACATAACGCTCAGATAGAGCGTCTGCCTCCTTTCATTTGTTGTTCTTGACCCTGAACCTGTAGATCACACATGTCTTCACAGAGAATGAAGGAGTGTGTCAAGTTAGATCAAGTGGCCTTAACTCCCCACCCCATGTCCATCTACTCAGTTCCTTCAGGTTCTAGCTTTACAAGCACCATGGCTTCCATCTACCAATCCTCAAGATGACTTTGTGAACTAGACATTATAAGTTATTTTTTACAGAAGAAAGAATTGAAGATTCCGATAGCAAATTAGGCCTGACATGATGGTGCATGTCTAATCCCAGTATTCAGGAGGCTGAATTGAGAGGACCGGTATGGGTTTGAGGAAAATATGGGCTACAGAGAGAGGTCCTGTCTGAAAAACAAATAAATAGGCAGGGAATCAACTCATAATCACCTGGGTGTTGAGCGGAGATTCAAGCTGAGCTTGTCCTCTGACTCCACTATTGGCATGTTTTTCCAGCTTCCGGTGATCGTTACCTGGTGATGTCAAAACTGTTCACCAAGGTGAGAAATGTTTAAACTGCTGCTTGCTTGAGAACCCACAGCACCACACTAGAGAAAGAAAGACTCGATAAACACCTGGGTTCAGCAAAGCCTGCAAGGAGAAAGGGAGCCCCTTCAAGTTTCATGAGGAGAAATGGAGTCCATAGAGATATGTGTCATGTGCCAAGCCCTGCAGAGTCAGAATCAAGGCTGGGACACACACATGGAGCTCCTGTCTCCGCCTCCTTATCACTGTCCTCTCTCCCAACATTCTTCCTTCTCCCCCTCCTTCAGCCACCGCAATATTAAGAAGAAGATCCTTGACCATCGTGGCAAGGACAGCAGAACGTTTTCTGCCAGCTTGGGGATGGACTGAGGAATGGGGACAGAGGGAGGTGCGCATGCTCCCGTCTCCGCTGTCACTTGGCTTTGCGTCTGCCCCGCACCAGGCCCTGGATTTATTGCTGGTGAGAAGGATGACTCATGTTCTTCTGATGCCAACCAGCTAATTTATCTCACCATGGCTTGGTAGGCACAAACGTCTAGTATGCGATCAAAAATAGAGGCCACCTGTCACCCAGTACCTTGGAACTGGTCTCCCAGCCCGAGGACCTACTCAAACCCATCCCAAACTTTTAGCCCAAATATAACCAGACCGACTTTATTTTTAGGAATCATCATTTTATAACAGAATGACAGAGATTAGAAAAGGGTAACGGAGAGAGGCAGCTCATGTGGGAGTCACCTGTCCTGAGTTTATTCCCACTTGACTTATTAACTGACTTGCCTTTTCCTTTCTTTTTTTGTGGGGGAGGGGCAACTGATTTTTCTCTCTCTGAGGCACATCATCACTGTCCTGGAAAGGGCTAAAATGGACGAATCTTAGAGGATTGTCTTTATTTCTTAAAAAAAATTACATTTTTTGTTAATTCTTAACCAATTAATAATTGTTATTTGTTCATACAATATATCTTGGTCATATTCACTCCAGCTGTTCCCCAACCCGATCCAGATCTACCCCTTCCTGCCCCTCTTTTGTGCTCTCTCTTTGCTTTAGACTGTTACACAGCAGATGTCCTGGTCCTCTGGCTCTTACTACCTTTCAGCCCCCTCTTCCACGATGTCCCCTGAACCTTAAGCGCAGGGGACATGTTGTGAATGTACTAACTGGGTCTGGTCACCCTACAGTCAGCTGATGTCTGCATTTGGCCAGTTGGGCCTTTCTATGATGATTCTCATCTACTGTGACAGGAAGCTTCTTTCATGAGGAGTTGGAGGTACTTCTCTGTGAGTATAAGGACAAGTATTGAGAACGCAGTTAGGAATTGTTCTGGTTTAGGAAAGTGGCGGCAGCAGATTCTCCTCTGGCTTCCAAGGCCTCTCCAGTCAGAGGTGGTAATCATCAATTTGATCGGCTCCTTAGCTGATCATACCTTATCAGAGGCATCTGCTCCATCTCCTTTTCTGTAAGATTCACACAGTGCTAGAGCCTTCTCTATGCTACGGAAAATGGTATAAATTCAATAACGCTTTGACCAGCAGCTTAGAATCTTCTGCTATTTGGCATATGTACATTTCTGTGACTTAAGGCGGAGGCTTCAGAGCCCTAAGAAAGCTTCAGGCAGTCTGATGGTTAGTGTTAACTGGGCCTGACTGTTGGGGATTATCTTGATTTCATTATAGGAACATAGGAAGACCCATCTTAATTGTGGGCACCATCATTTCCTGAGCAGAGGATTCTGGGTTTTATAAGTGCAGAAAGGGAACTAACTGAACCATGGCCTGTATTCATGCCTCTCTGTTTCCCAACTGTAGATACAATGTGACCAGATGCTTCCAGCTGCTGCCACCTTGACCTTCCGACAAGATGGAGTACCTAGAGCTGTGAGCAAGCATACATTGCTTTCACCAGATTATTTTATCAGAGCAATGGGAGAAAATGAAGTCCTGTCGTTCAAAAGAATCTGAGATTCCATATCATTGAAGAAGAGTATCCAGGGTCTTGATGACGGTCAGACAAAATTCTAATGCAGTGTAAATAAAGGAGCTTGAGAACTTATCCCAGTGTCATTCACCTCTTAAAAAAATCTTTAAAATGGGTTGGGAGCATCAGCTTCATAAAGGAAATCAGCATGCATTAGCACTCTTACACAAAACGTCCTGAGACATTTTAAGTGCTTAACATACTAATTTTATTCTTAGGGTTTGAGTGAAATTACCTACAAGTTCCTTGTAGTCTCAAAAGATAATTGTGGAGGAAGAGCCATGATGGGCCAAGGGTTTGCTGTCATACATTCTCTCCCTCTGTCCAACAGCTCTTCTTACTCAGTCTGTGCCTCTAATACACACACACACACACACACACACACACACACACACACACACACACACACACACACGAGAGAGAGAGAAAGAGAGAGAGAGACAGAGAGACAGAGACAGAGAGAGACAGAGAGAGACAGAGAGAGACAGAGACAGAGACAGAGAGATAGACAGACAGACACAGAGAAACACAGAGAGAAAGACAGAAAGACAGAGACAGACAGAGACAGAGACAGGCAGACAGAAACATGCATGCACAGTCACATATGCACACTCATACACACACACACACAGAGACAGACAGAGACACGCACACACACACACTCACACACATGCACACATACAATTCTTTTCTGCAGAAACTGGACTGGTTATCCAAAGCCCCTAGCACAAGAGTCTACCAAATACTCTTTGGAAACTGAAATTGCTTTGGAGATAACAGACTCAAGAATGTGGGTGTAAAATACAAATAACAGGCAAGTTGATACTGAAATCTTTACTTTTAGGAGTCGTGGGCTTTCCTTTTCACTTTTTTTTTTTCTTTTCCAGAAGCGTCATCATTTATGTGGTTTGTAAATGATCTTTCCTCTGGAAATTAGACATCACAACATAAAATGCAAAATTGCAACTGATTAAATATATGAAAAGCTCAATTAAAGGCAGGTTAAGTCCTCCTCCGGGCACAGCAGCCTATAATAACCAATTTGCTTTGAGTCACATATTTTACATAAACCAAAGAGGTTACCCCTAAGAATGACTGTCTGGCTTACTGTTCCCCGCCCCCATGGTGTCCCACATACTATAACAGGAAGACAGTAGCAGTTTCAAGACTTGAACTTTCTCTCAAATTTTTCTTTACTTAAACCAAGCAGAGTTTCTACAGTAAAAAATAGTGATTACCACGATGCTTGTCATGAGTGGTCATGGGCCGTTTGTCCTTTAGATAAAGAGACAGTGACTGGATATTCCTCACACACCAAGGGTGCCAGCCAGTGAGGAAAAGGTTGACCTCCTGGATTCAGCTTTGTTTCTCTGATTCCTCAGTGATAAGGGTATACAGTTGGTAGATGTTGGCCCAGATTAGGTTCTTAGGGATTATCTTAGTTTACCCCCAAATCTCTTCATGATTGTAGAACAACAGAAAGAGAAAGAGACTTGGCCAAGGTCATTCAGGGATCAGATGTTTGAATCACAGTCCAGGATTCTGATAACAGGACAAAAGGTTAAAGCTCTAACACATAATACTGACCTCTGAAATGTTGGTGTGTTCATAAAATAATTAAAATATGATGGCATGGTGCAATAGTTTTGACCTGACAAGATAGAAAAGGAGATTCATAACATAATAAAGTGAAATGTCTGTGTAAAATCTTCATGCACGAAATGGATGAAAACACTCAAGTAAAGTGAATATCAGGTTGTTGGATTGCTTTTGTTTTTGTTTTCCAAATAAAATAGAATATCCAACATTTTGTTTTGAAGCAGTGCTTCCTGAATCCCAGGCTGGTCTCATGAACTCACTGTCTCCACCGCCTGAGTGCTGGGATTACAGGCATGTCCCACCACATCTGGTATGTGTGGTGCCGGGGTCAAACCCAGGACTTCCTGTACACTAGGCAAGCACTCTACCAACCAAGTTAAAGCCCTGCTTTGGTAGCTGCTGTAAATATCTGTGGGGTACAACCTGCTTCCATCCAAAAGTTTCCTTGGCATCACTCAGTCCTAGATGCTTCATGGCATATTCTAGAACAGAAGCCTATTTGTGTCCACAGGTCATACAGTTGAGAATCTGCAACCAAGTACCAGTTTTGTCTATGGTCAAAATTAGGAACATTAAGTTTTTCTCTGTTATTTGTTGATCTAAACTCAAGGGAGGAAGTCTCAGCTTTGAATGGAGGCTCCACAAGGCATGAGGTAAACAGTATCTAGGACATTCCCAAGACTTGCCCTCTAGAGCAAATGAGATTGGAAGAGCCAGCTGAAGATGAATGATAAGAAGGTTGTCAACCTGGAAGTGCTTACAGGCATCGGACTTTGAAGATAACGATTTTGGACAAATGGAGTTACCTGACAAATTGGAGAACATGCATTCCACACATGTTGGGTGTAGGATCAGACTTGATTGAGGCTAACAGGACGAGGAAATTGCTACTAGACAGACTATAGTTAAGAACTTCTGAAGAGTCTAAGCTGATAGGACATGGGGCTGTGCTGCTCTGTGGTTAGTGAGAGCCTCATCCCCGAAGCCCTCCCACAGAGGCAATGGTGGGAAATGAGAAGAGAAAGACAAGAGGGTCGCAGGACAGGAAAACGTCCCAGTTGGTTTCCCATGAATCTCTCCAAAGGTCTAGAATTTCTTTCTTTGAATAAAGAAGATTCTAGAATGGCCATGGGAACAGAATGGCAATAAGCAGATCGAAACTTGGGCAAGCTTACCTCTCCTCTCCCACTGGAAGAGAATGGTAGGATTCTGCCCTCTGGCAAATGAAAGGACTAAGACAGCACAAGCACTGTCTCTCTTCCTAAACTCAGGTGGCATGAGGAAGTCTTTGCTTTCAGATGAGTTGTGGGTACTTTTTTTTTTTTTTTTTTTTAACACAAAGGTTTCTGTGGCTGGTGTGATAGGATCCAGATTATACATATGGAATTGCTCAGCTTTAGGTGGCATTGGGCTTGGAGGACCCACACACTGCATGGTCTAGCATGTGCAACAGTCGCAAGGGGTGAGTGTGGGGATTTGTAGGCTGGAGTGGTTATAAAAATCTCTGTCAGAATGTATGCTACTGCTTTGCGTGATCAATGGGGTCATCAGGGATGCTCTACTGCTTATTGTAACAGCACCGTGGAATGCTTATCCCTAGAGATCCATGGTCTAGGGCTAAGTTGGAAGAATGTTGCATGTCTGTAGACCCTCCCATAGACTTATGAAGTCTAAACAGGACTGAAGATAGGCACCGTTTTGAATAATGGTGCTTTTCACTAACTTATTTTGCCATAGAAGTCAGGTTACCATTTTTGCCCAACAGTACTACTATCCTGGGAACTCATGCTCCAGAGCAAATACTTTGAATTCAGCAGTCACTCATGCATTAGTCCACAGAGTGTTTGAAATGAAAGCAACACTAAATTTAATGCCATTTCTTCATCTTTTGAGTAATGAAAACCCAGGCCTAGAAGGGTTGCGTCAATGTTAACGACCAATAGCCATTAACCCTGACCTGTAAAATCCTCAAATTTAAAAAGCCACCGGGTGCCAGTGGCATTAGATCACGGGCTGTGGTGAAGTAAAGCATTCTATGTAAGGTTAGATGGAAGTTACTGGAACACTGGCCTAGGAACCAGAGCACTAGCACCTCTGGATTTCTCACTGTTACTGCGCAGGCCCATCTTTCCGCTCTCATTAGCATCGGGTCCCGTCATCTCTGAAGTGGGGAGGGTAAGGCTTGTGTGACTGATTTCACAAGTTCTGGTAAGAATCAAGAGAGAGAAAGGATGTGAAAGTTGTTTGTAAGTTGTACTGTGCTGTGGAAGTCAGGAGGTCCTTCCTTCAGCTCACAGGCTGATGCTGCAGACGGTACCTAGAGGATGTGTCTGTTTTCCGTTGCCCCGCTCCTCCTGAGGGTGCTTTGCATGAATCTGTCCGCAGACTTCATCCCTTAACCACTGTCACGAGCGAATGAGGTGGTCTGTCACCCTCGCCAAGCCACTTGTCCCCAGGCATGGGACAACGGAGCATATGGCCGCACTGCACTCACAGAGAGCTGGGGGGGGGGGGGGGGCTAGCAAGGAAAATGGGAAGTCCTGAGCTTACCCATACTCTCAGCAGGTGTTTAGCTATTCAACTTCTGGTCATAAACACCACTGGGGGAGAGCAGGGGCGGGTGGGGGTGGGGGTGGGAGTCAAGCCTTCCACAGCCTGTGCTGTTTAGATGAAAAGTGAAAAAGTTGGAAAGGAAGAATCCTATAATAACAAAGCAAAAGAAAGGGGGTAGCGCCGGGAGACAAGGACTGGGCTGGTGAGGCATTGGTATCTTATCTCTGGAATGTAATTGATGATCTGAGTATAGTGTGAGATCTTAAGTGAAATGAATCGGTGGTTTCAGTTCCGGATATGGTATGCAAAGAAAAAAAAAAAAAAAAAAGACTCGCTCTTTGAAATTCAGCACTTCCTTGTCTGTGCTTCAGGAAGCCACACGCCTGATGTTGAGTGTGGAAACTGACTCATATCTGGCCCTTTGAGATTAGCCTCTCCAGCCCCCAGACTGTGGGCAGGATCTGGGGCCTAGTGGGAAGCCAGAATGGGGTCTAGCCTAGTCTAGAGGAGAGGGACCAGACACAACATCACTGATGCCCGGGGAACTCCACTTTCCAGATGGTTCCATAGGCAGTGCATCTTCTGGACCATCACCAAAGCGTTTCACCGCGTCCTTGGCAGTGGCTGAGTGACCTGAAATGACAGAAAACAGAATCACAAATGCAGTGCCTCCCCACACCCTCTTTTCAGAGTCACATTTAAAGGAAATCAGCCAACTGAACCACTTAGTAGAACCATGTGACCCTGAGATCTTATCGTGTGTTTTCTCACCAAGAAGCCCCAACAATTCACAGCCACCCTCGCCTTGACTGTCCCAACAAGTTTCTGTAGTTAGATGTTGGGGATAGCTTGTCAGAGAATGAAACATGAAGCCCTGGGTGGCAAGGAGCTCAGATCTCCTACAGGGATCCATGAGTGGTTTCCAGACATTTTACAGTCCATCTCAGCATGGGAAAGATCCTCTAACACAGCACATTTGCTTCGTTCTAGTTGACATATTCAAAAATGTTTGCCCAGGAATGATGAGAAGGGGCTGGCTTAGATGAGAAATCAATGCAAGACAGGTGGTACAGAGAGAAAACTCCAACAGAACCCAGCTTAGCATTAGAAGGTCCAAGTTTCTCTTTGACCTCGGGCTAGCCACTTAATCTCTTACACTTCCCTTTCCCCTTCAGTACAGCGCAATCACTGCTTACAAAATGAGATCATGCATGGGGAAGTATTTGCCTGGTAGATGGAAAGAGCTCTGCAAAGAGTCATCATTTTTCTTTACCTACAGACAATTGAATATTAATGGCTAGCCTCTGCTGGAAGTGCAGCTATAGCGATCAACCATAGAATAAGGATTAAGCTTCCCAACTTTCTTATCTGGAAATCTTTCCCAAGATATATTAGTCTGCATTTTCACCTGCCTACTCCTTACTTCCAAAAAGGGTATGGTGATTACTAAAGCATGAAGTAAAGATTAAGACCTTGTCATGGAAGAAGAGAAAAGTTAGAGGAAGAAAACACACAATAATAAGAATAATTTTAATGAGGCATGCAGCCTGATTTTGAGGCCCTTAGCAGCTCAGAACAAAGAAAAAGGGGGCCGATTACATTCTGCAGCTGTCTTTATCCACTAAAGAAAGAGCAGTTACGGATCAGGGTCAGCCAAATCCTTCCTGGCCATAAACATGATAAGAACTGTGCATCCTTGATTAAGGGCTATCAAGAGTAAAATGATAGGATCTTAAGGAGCTCGAGTGAGGATGCTGCTCCAGTTTGAGCACTGGGCGACATTTTCCCTGGTGAATCGGTGTGTGCCTTTCCAGAACTATATAAGCAACAGGATGATTGCTAGAAGGCACGGGCTGCCTTATAAACAACAACCACAATAACCAAACAGTAACAAACCAGGGCAGTGGAAATCAGCATGCTAGTTCCCAGGTTGGGGTGCTACTGACCAAGATGTTTACAGAGGCAGTTGCTTATTTTTTAGGGGGACAGCAAAATGGGCAAGGTAATACGCAGGGTGCCTAGCACAAGGTCACTTGATGTCTCTGAAACTGATTGTGCATTCTGAGCTCCTCAGTAGGATTTTGTAGGTCACGGTGTTCTAGGCAAAGCTCCCTGTTGATGTACATCTCTCATGTAAGATTTAGATCACCTCTTTTTGGGCAGAGCTCCATGGAAACACCGCCCATGATTTTTGAAATGGAGTCTGACTGGGTCCCTGTAACGCCTGGTTGCCGTGGACAGCAGTTCTGCAGCTCACACACCACTGGACAGTTGGCAAGCCAGAGACAATGGTGATCTAGTCACCGTAGGTCATTCTCATTCTAATGCTAAAGCAAGTTCCTGTTTACAGAAAATAGCCAGGGAATGGAGTATCCGTGGCAATGGAAAATTCTGGTTCATCTGGTTACCCTCCATATCATTTGAGATTCTTGGTTTCCAAAGAAGTAATTACAACACACTTTGCTGAACGCTAAAATGATAGAGTGTGACTTCAGCGTTCTTTGGTGATTCACAAGGTGCTTTAGAATCTGTCAGCACCCGATAGCATGATTAGCATCGAAGCTTCTCATTTTCTAGGACCAGAGTGGAAATGTAGAAAGTGTGGAAATCTGGGTGGTACCTGTAGGACATCCCTAACCAGACCATTGCCACAGCCGGCGCTGGCGCGGCTGCTGGAGCAGCCCATCCTCCCTCAGTTTGTTGACCAGTGGAAAGACAGCTGTAGATGTATTGCATGTTATTGGGTTCACAGTTGGTTATTGCATTACTAATATTCTTTTCAAGAATACCGGGGAAGCTGGCCACAGTGACTCCTGCCTGTAATTGCAGCTCTTGAGAGGCCGAGGCAGGAGGATTTTGAAGAGTGCAAGGGCAGTTTGGAGTACATAAATGAGTTCCCAATTGGAACTCTTAAAAAAGCAAAGGGGGAGAAATAGATGGATGGATGGATGGATGGATGGATGGATAGATGGATGGGGAATGTTAGGGAAAAGGAAACAATCTGATTCATTTACTTCTCCAGCTTGACATTTGTGCAAAATCCGCGAACAGAGCATCAGTTGTGCCCGGGGCCGCAGAGAGAAAACTGCAGATTTCACCATTCCGTTTTAGTCATTGTTCTAACATTTATTGATTTACTTATGTGTGTGTCCACATGCCTCTGCATGCTCATGTTCACACCCGTGTGCGTGAGCATGTTCCTGCCTGCATTCAGAGGTCAGGGGACAACTAGCAGGTGGTTGATCTAAAGCCTCATGGGTCCCAGGGATCAAACTCACGTCGTTAGCCTTAGCAGCAAGCACCTTTACCTGCTGGGCCATCTTACTGGCCCACCATAATTTTTTACGAGAGAAAACTCAGGCATAGAGAGGGCCCATGAGTCCTCTACAGCGTCATGCCCACTCTGGGTTACAGTTTACTATCACACGCACGCGCACGCGCACGCGCACGCGCACGCGCACGCGCACGCACACACGCACACACACACACCACACACCACACGCACACGCACACGCACACACCACACACACACACGTACACGCACATCATATCTGCTGAGGCCTGGCTAGGACTCCCGGGGAGCAGAATGACTCCCACCACACACACAGCAGAAGATGGCGGTGGAGCACACACGGGACTTCGCTCTGGGACTCGAGGAACTCATCATCCTCTTTGAAGGTTATCAAAGTCCTCTGCAGTGAGAGTGCCCTCTGTCCAGACCCGAGAGAGTTCAGAGAGTAAAGGATGAACAGAGTCCCCAGGATTCAGTCAAAATGAAAACCTTCCAAAAATAGCAAAAGAGCCACACTCCCCACATCTGTGAGCAAAACTTTCAAAAAGCCACCCAGGCGGGTCTACAGTTATGGCTGTCGTGCTTTGCCTGTGTTCTGAACTTGAATCATCCCTCTC